GGCAGGCTCCTGTCTTCTTCCATCCAAGCTGCTAACACGGGAATCACCTGAGTTGGAAGCTCACTAGACCTCACCTACTCTGGCTCCAGTTCTACTCCATGTCCTACCTACCGGGTGCCCAGCAGTGTTCTCTGTGCTAGGATAGAGCAGTGAACAAAATGCAACCCCTAGGCCCCTATCACGCCCATCTGGTGGATGGAAGAGAAAAACATCGGCTTACAACACAGTGTGGCCAGGGAAAGGGCAGAGTTGCAATGTGGCAGCACAGAGAAGAGGCCCCCATTCTAGGATCTGCTCATAACTTCTCTGGGCCTCAGTTCCAGGGTCCTCATCTCTAAAACGGTTACATTAATCATACTCATCTCCTAATCTCATCCTCTCTCCAGGATGAGATGCAAAGGGACCAGCTATACTCCAGGAAAAACCATGAACTCTGTGTGCTGTGTTAGTCACATATCACAGGAGGGAAAGCATTCCAGGATCCCTGGGAATCTAGTCTGCCCTGCAGCCGTGAGTAAGGAGGTGGGGCTTGGGGCAGGATGGGTGCCATGTCCATCCTTTCTTCTATGTCTTCACGTCCGCAGGAGGGGCTTCGTTGTTTATCAGGTGTTCTGTGCTCTGAGGACTTAGAAATGTACATGATAAGGAACTGAAGGGCTTCCTCACCCTGGCCTGCTGGAGAAGGTGGTCCCAGCAGCAGCCTATCGCCCTCTGGTGGACATTGCGAGTAATGTCACCTCGTTGGGTGCTTTTACCTGAACACTTGAGAAATTCAAAGGGGATGGGTGATGGTTTCTTCCTCAGAGTCTCTGGGAAAGAACCCTAGTAGTTGGGGTGCTTCCCTCTACAATAAGTGTTCCAGGAACTAAATAAGATCTTGCACGACCTAGCATGCCCAGAAAAGAACCTCTACCATTACATTTCCAGTCTTTAGCTGCTTCTGCTCAACCAGCTTTAACTGTGACATAGGAAATGGATGTGGATGCATTCTTTCTATCTGCCCTTTATCCTTATCCTATGAACTGAGCCTTCTGGCTGTCATAGTGCCTTTCCTCCCACTGGTATGCCCGGTCCTGAGGCGGGCGCAGGGACCTATACCTGGTTTCAGACCTTGTGGCGCTCACAGCATGCTGGAGAAAACAAACACACAGCAAAACAAGGAACTACCACAATTTAGGGTAGGTGCTCAGGGCAACGGTGGAATTCAAGATGTCCTGATAATACATGTGGAGATGGCGCAAGATAACGCCTTTCAAAGGAAGGGACTTGCTATATGAAACACAGCAAATAAGGAGGAGCTGGTCTGGTGGAAAGTGGAACTAGAATTTTCCAGAGAGCTGGGATGATATAATGAGGTCTTGAGTTAGAGAGAGTGTGATGCGCATGAGGAACTGACATCGCTTCTGGCCTCAATATCAGAGCAAAAAATGTATTTCTTTGTTGTTCTCTGTACATATTTTGAAAATAAGCACCCTCACCAATTCATTCTGAACCCCGAGTGCTCAGTACAGAATCTGACATATCAGTATTCAATAAATATCTATGTATGTATAAACCTAGGACACCCACTCTATGCCAGGCACAGAAGTATAATTACTATGGCTTTTTATAAAATGCACTCTTTCTCAAAAAGCATAGACATTAAAATGTAGTTAATTCTTGTTAATAGTAAGAAATTCAGAGAATTGTAATTACCATTACAGTAAAAAGGAGTGGGGAAACAACTAACCAATTTCTTTGAAAATTCCTGAACAGTCACTGTGCCTGCTGCCATACCCATGCATTCACCTGTTTAAAAAGCCATGAACTCTACCCTAGGTATATGGCAGAATATCCATGTGTGTTTCTACGTGTATATACTTGGGTGTGCATACAATAAGCTTTGTAATTTATACACAAACACATGCAAAGTAAACAACAGATATATATTCTCACACGTGTACTCACAGAAATGTCATGACCCTCCCCATTTACCACCCCACTCCTTGCTTCAAGGCCCTATGACCCATTTCTCTAGCCATCCATGCAGATGTTCCTGGAAGTGCTCTGGAACCACTAGTCAGTGCTTGGAGACCAGGTCATTTCGTGTGTGTTCCTTGCCAAGCCCAGCTTATTAGTCATCAATGTTGTGGTTGGACTGGCCCTAGCGGTTTTTGTGATTGCAAGATGTCGTCAGCAAAAACCATCAGGAAACTGAGAAGATCCAGGTTTATTACTAAAAAGACCTGGGAATGACACAGCATACCTGGGGTCACACACCAGGGCTGTGTGAGAGAGAGAGAGAGAGAGAGAGAGAGAGAGAGAGAGAGAGAG